TCAGAGGAAGTCCAGGAGTTCCAAAGACAGCTCAATTATTTGATTGGCTATGACGTCACCGACGTGAGCAACGTGCACGATGATGAGCTCGAGTTTGCCCGCCGTAGGCTGGTCACTCCACGGACGATCGAAGTATCCTGCCGAGACCCCAAATTGTACTCCATGCACCCTTGGACTACATCCAAGCCACTACCGGAATATTTGCTGAGTAGAATTGTCAACAATAATATTTTTATCAATATCCACCGAGGAACCACCAGCCAGAAGATTAAAGTCGGGGTAGACGATACCCCGGAGGTTATCCTTCAGAGCTTCTTCACCAAAATGGCCAAGAAGAAGTCTTTGATGAATATTCCTGAAGATTACAGTGAGCTCGATTTTGTCCTGAGAGTCAGTGGCCGAGATGAGTACATTGTAGGAGAGACACCCATCAAAAACTTCCACTGGATAAGACAGTATCTGAAAAAGGGGGAAGAAATTCACCTGGTCCTGGATGAACCACCGGACCCAAACCAGGATGAAGTTCAGAAAGAAGAATGGCCCTTGGTTGACGATTGCACCGGAGTTTCGGGATATCACGAGCAACTTACCATCCAGGGCAAAGATCACGAAAGGGTGTTCACCATATCCTTGTGGGATTGCAACCGTAAGTTCAGGGTCAAGGTTATTGGCATCGATATCCCTGTCTTACCGAGAAACACAGACCTTACCGTCTTCGTGGAGGCTAATATTCAACATGGCCAACAGCTCCTTTCCCAAAGGAGAACCACCGCGAAGCCGTTCACCGAAGAGGTTCTCTGGAACGTTTGGCTTGAGTTTGACATCAAGATCAAGGACCTTCCCAAAGGGGCGTTGCTCACCCTGCAAATATATTGCGGCAAAACTCCGGCGCCGTCCACCAAGGGGAACCTCCACTCCTACGATTCGCCGTCTTCTGATCCCAAGTACAAAACTCAACTTCTCTACTACGTCAACCTCTTGCTGATAGACCACCGCTCTCTGCTCAGAACGGGGGACTACGTGCTTCACATGTGGAAAATTCCGGGCAAGGGAGAAGAGCAAGGAAGCATAAACGCGGACAAGCTGACTTCGGCCACCAATCCGGATAAAGAACATTCCATGGCTGTTTCGATTGTGTTGGACAAATACTGCCACCCCATCGCCTTGCCCAAACACAAGATCGCGTCGGGTGATCCCCAAGGGGACCGGGCCAGAGCCGAAATGCCAAACCAGCTGCGGAAACAGCTGGAGGAGATCATCGCCACGGATCTGCTCAACCCGCTCACCCCGGAAGACAAAGAATTATTGTGGCATTTCAGGTACGAGAGCATAAAGCACCCGAAGGCCTACCCTAAGTTGCTTAGTTCAGTGAAATGGGGACAGCAGGAGCTAGTAGCTGAAACGTACCAACTGCTAGCTAAACGGGACGCGTGGGACCAGAGCGCTTTGGATGTCGGCTTGCCGATGCAACTTCTGGATTGCAACTTTTCGGATGAAACCGTGAGAACGATGGCTGTGCAAAAGTTGGAAGGCTTAGAAGATGACGAGGTCCTTCACTACCTCTTACAGCTGGTTCAGGTAAGCTAGAGGGACGTTTCTGATGCGACCTTCTGATAAGCAGGGTCAATGGGGGAAGCCAGATTCACAGGGTTACTAACTTAACAACTGCGGTGATTCACTTGTGGCAAGAAAGGCCATAAAATGGGGCAAAACCCAACCACTAGGTCTCACTTAGCGATAGAGATTTTGGACTCAGTGGNTTTAATTGGAAACACAGCTTGTAATATTTGGTTTTAATTCGGCTTTTATCGGGGTTTATTTTCTGTATTTTTGTATTTTGTAATTTTTTGTATTTTGTGTTTATTATTTGTTTTTAATATGCTGTGAACCGCCCTGAGTCCTATGGGAGAAGGGCGGTATACAAATTAAAATAATAAATAAATAAATAAAATAAATTATCAAGCAGAATTAACCGCCTACTATTTTCATCCAGACTGAATGAACGAGTTTTCTATTTCTATTTTTATTTTTTTCCCCCTTTCTTGAGCAACTTTTAAGGCCCGGTCCCGCCTGTATTTTTTTCAGAAATATGTTCCTCTTTTCTTTTTTCTTTTAATGGTTGCAACTAAGTGAAGGTCTGTTTAACAGTTCTAACAGGAAAAGCATTTAAAAAAAATTACTTTTTTTTTAAAGTCGATTTTTGTTTATAGCCAAGTGGGTGAAAACTTCCTTCCTGGTTATAAGACTTCCGCTGCCTCGGTTGATGAAAAGAAGGCAGAAAAAAAAACAGAACATCTCAGCGCAAACCAGCAACTTTGCCTGTTGTGAACTGTTTGCCATTTTTTAAAACAGGCAGGATTCAAAACTTATACAAATGAGGCTTCTGCAGAAACGCAGGTAAATCTCTCGTTTAAATAGTTCATCGGTTGTTTCCGTGGGGGCTTGGGAAAACTGAACAATTCTACCCAATAATTGCTGGCATCCTGAAATGGGGTTTTTTTTTTTTTTGCTTCTACTCATCTTTTGCTTCGAAACCTTCCTGAGATTAAAAAGATGGGGAAGAATTTGTTAGGAAAAAAGCATCGCAGCATCTAAAGTTTTGTTGGGGGGGGAAAAAAAAATAACATCCGGCCAGCAATGTAGTCCTTATTAATTAAGGAGGAACTAATCGAAATAGCTTGTATGGGTTCAGCCTACATTTCGTCTGGTATAAGTGGGAAAATGGAAATGATAAGACAATTTTTAAACCCTTGTCATCGGTCGGGGGGTGATCTCAAATGTATGGTACGTTGTTTGAAATACGTTGGAAAGTCTGGATAGAAGCTGCTGGTGTCCTTGGAGTGGATGAATTTTGATTTAATCTAGGCAGACCGCTGTTAATTATTTTATAATAGGGAGTGGTCTTGACGGTCCCTTGATTGGGCTGTTGTTTACTGTCAGTAAGCCACTGGAATATCAAATTTATATAAAAATATAAATATGAGAGCAAATCCCACTCCCTACTAGTACTGGTGGTGTTACCTAGTTTGGTAATGAAATGTCTGCAACAAAACAAGCTCTAGAGGAGAGGTCCCCAACCTTTGGGGCACCAGGGACCGGTAACGTGGAGAGAGGTTTTTCCACGGGCCAGAGAGTGCGTGGTTTTGTGTGCTGCCTGCATCCTGTGGATGGGGTGTTGCTTTGTGCGGACCGGTTGCTGGCATGCCGTGGCCCGGTACCGGTCCACAGACCGGGGGTTGGGGACCCCTGCTCTAGAGAACACCAACAGCTACAGATCAACGTACCCCCGTTCTTATTTTAGCAATTGACTTTTGGGGGCAGGTACAGTATTTACAGAAGCTATGCTTAGTACACAAGGTATTTTGACTGCTCTTTGCTTAGAACTTGCTATTATCTTTATTTTATTTTTTTAAATATCATTTTTAAAAAAGTTTTATTAGATTTTATAGGATTAGGGATAAAATGGGGTCAGGATTAGGGTTAAGGTTTAGGCTGCGGTTGGGGTCAGGGTTGGGGTTAGGGCGAGGTTGTCCCCCAGTAACATTTTCAATATTTAGCAAACAGAATATTTTCTGGGTACATATCTATATAAATAAAAATGTAAATGTTCGTTTGTTCAAAATCTTAAATGTCTGAAAGTTCGTCACCGATTGCTTTGAAATTTTGACACAACGTTGCATTCGAATACGCGCGTGTTTTTATATACCTATATTATATAGATGTCACACCTGTGACAGGTAAAAACATGCTTTTTTTGAAAAACAGCGCCATCTGTTGGACGTAAAAGCAACACACGCTTTTACCAGACTGAGCCACAGCAACGTGTGGCTGGATACAGCTAGTATTTAAATAATAATAATTAATATAATAATATATAACAATAGTAAATATGATTAGTTATCATAAAGCAGTATTAATTAATCCATCCATAACATCCTTCTTACTAATGTGTATTCAGAATTACATATCACATTCCTTTCTCTCTAATTCGTCTTTCTAGCCATTGATAAAAGTTATCCCAGCTAAAGTAAACTGAGTCTTCTTTCTATTTAATCTCTAAAGTCAATCTATCCATTTCTGCACATTCTAAAATTTTCTTGATTAATACCTCTTCAGTTGCTAAGTTTTCATTTTTCCAGTACTGGGGCAAATACAATTCTTGCTGCTGTTAATACATGTAGTATTAGATATCCGCTCTCCTTCACATAGTTAGCTCCTATTATTCCTAACAAAAAAAAAAAAATTCTGGTTTAAAATCTGTCTTTTTTTTAGTCTGGTGGACATGCCCTAAAGCAGACATGTCAAACACAAGGCCCGGGGGCCGGATGCGGTCCACGAAATGGTTTCATGTGGCCCGCGAAGCCATCCTGGAAACAGTGAGGGAATGGTCCCCGCTGCCTTGGCCCTGGCCCAGGCCAGCTGGGAGCCAAATGTACAATTTTGTGGTGGCCATCTTGGCACTTGCCCCAGTGGACCATGCCTTGGCACTTGCCCCGGTCCCACCCGCTTCTGCTAGAGACCCTCAGATCTGTCCCACTCCTGCCCAGGCCCCCACAGGCACCCTTGATGCGAATGATGTAGAACTGGCCACGCCCACCCAGCAGGCCACACCCACTCCATCCACGCCCACCCAGTAGGCCACACCCACTCCATCCACGCCCACCCAGTAGGCTGCACCCACTCTGCCCCCCCGCTCCGCCCCCGTGGGCAACCGCAATGCTGATGCGGCCCTCAGTGAAATTGAGTTTGACACCCCTGCCCTAAAGCAAAAAGGTTTTGGGTTAAGATACATGTATGGTTGGAGAAAAAAATATAATTAATGGAAGGAAATCAAAAGGATTCAAACGGGTTCCCCTCCCGCTGGATTAGCTTTCATTTGATGTGTGTAAAAAATGATTTTTGAGATTGTATTCAGCAAAAACTCAGCAGACCCTTCCCACGGTCCACGGGAGAAAGAAATAATCGGGCGTTGTGTTGGATTTCCTTAGACTTCCTGTGGCATGGAGTTGGAGAGCAGCGACCAAGCTGTGGTTATGAGAGATGACAACAAGCGACGCAGGAGGAGGAGAATGAAGCCCTACTGTACAGCCAACACTCTCTCGTCCACGGAACTCATCTCCATTGAGTTTGTTTTCCCCACAACCAGCATCGTGCTTGACGTTGCTACCAACTGCACGGTCGAGCAGATGAAAGCACAGGTCTGGATGCAGGCGGTGGAAGGCCACCAGACCTCAGAACTCTTCCGCAAGATCACGCCGGATCAGTTTCTCCTCCTGTATCAGAAGAAGGGCCAGTGGTATGAAATTTACGACAAGCACCAGATCATACAGACCCTGGATTGTATCTTATATTGGAAAGTCTTGCAGAAGAAAGTGGGCAAGATCCACGTGGTTGAGAAGCCCAGCCCCTCAGAGGAAGTCCAGGAGTTCCAAAGACAGCTCAATTATTTGATTGGCTATGACGTCACCGACGTGAGCAACGTGCACGATGACGAGCTTGAGTTTGCCCGCCGTCGGCTGGTCACTCCGCGGACGATCGAAGTATCCTGCCGAGACCCCAAATTGTACTCCATGCACCCTTGGACTACATCCAAGCCACTTCCGGAATATTTGCTGAGTAGAATTGTCAACAATAATATTTTTATCAATATCCACCGAGGAACCACCAGCCAGAAGATTAAAGTCGGGGTGGACGATACCCCGGAGGTTATCCTTCAGAGCTTCTTCACCAAAATGGCCAAGAAGAAGTCTTTGATGAATATTCCTGAAGATTACAGTGAGCTCGATTTTGTCCTGAGAGTGAGTGGCCGAGATGAGTACATCGTAGGAGAGACACCCATCAAAAACTTCCACTGGATAAGACAGTATCTGAAAAAGGGGGAAGAAATTCACCTGGTCCTGGATGAACCACCGGACCCAAACCAGGATGAAGTTCAGAAAGAAGAATGGCCCTTGGTTGACGATTGCACCGGAGTTTCGGGATATCACGAGCAACTTACCATCCAGGGCAAAGATCACGAAAGGGTGTTCACCATATCCTTGTGGGATTGCAACCGTAAGTTCAGGGTCAAGGTTATCGGCATCGATATCCCCGTCTTACCGAGAAACACAGACCTTACCGTCTTCGTGGAGGCTAATATTCAACATGGCCAACAGCTCCTTTCCCAGAGGAGAACCACCGCGAAGCCGTTCACCGAAGAGGTTCTCTGGAACGTTTGGCTTGAGTTTGACATCAAGATCAAGGACCTTCCCAAAGGGGCGTTGCTCACCCTGCAAATATATTGCGGCAAAACTCCGGCGCCGTCCACCAAGGGGAACCTCCATTCCTACGATTCGCCGTCTTCTGATCCCAAGTACAAAACTCAACTTCTCTACTACGTCAACCTCTTGCTGATAGACCACCGCTCTCTGCTCAGAACGGGGGACTACGTGCTTCACATGTGGAAAATTCCGGGCAAGGGAGAAGAGCAAGGAAGCATAAACGCGGACAAGCTGACTTCGGCCACCAATCCGGATAAAGAACATTCCATGGCTGTTTCGATTGTGTTGGACAAATACTGCCACCCCATCGCCTTGCCCAAACACAAGATCGCGTCGGGTGATCCCCAAGGGGACCGGGCCAGAGCCGAAATGCCAAACCAGCTGCGGAAACAGCTGGAGGAGATCATCGCGACGGATCTGCTCAACCCACTCACCCCGGAAGACAAAGAATTATTGTGGCATTTCAGGTACGAGAGCATAAAACACCCGAAGGCCTACCCTAAGTTGCTTAGTTCAGTGAAATGGGGACAGCAGGAACTAGTAGCTGAAACTTACCAACTGCTAGCTAAAAGGGACGCGTGGGACCAGAGCGCTTTGGATGTCGGCTTGCCGATGCAACTTCTGGATTGCAACTTTTCCGATGAAACCGTGAGAACAATGGCTGTGCAAAAGTTGGAAGGCTTAGAAGACGACGAGGTCCTTCACTATCTCTTACAGCTGGTTCAGGTAAGCTAGAGGGACGTTTCTGATGCGACCTTCTGATAAGCAGGGTCAATGGGGGAAGCCAGATTCACAGGGTTACTAACTTAACAACTGCGGTGATTCACTTGTGGCAAGAAAGGCCATAAAATGGGGCAAAACCCAACCACTAGGTCTCACTTAGCGATAGAGATTTTGGACTCAGTGGTCGCACGTTGAGGACAACCTGTGTCTTTGGATGCAGAGAACAGGCTTAAATGATGGGTCATTTGCAAATGGGAGTTGCATCTGATCTTGTTAGGTGCTGGGAATGGCACGCGTGTGAAATCAGGTTTTATTCCTTGTTAAATCTCCTGCATTAGCAATGATCAGAAACAGCTATTCTGTTGCGCAGGGGTCTTCAAACTTGGCCCTTTTATGACTTGTGGACTTCAACTCCCAGAATTCCTCAGCCAGGCACGTGTGCCTGGCTGAGGAATTCTGGGAGTTGAAGTCCACAAGTCATAAAAGGGCCAAGTTTGAAGACCCCTTGACTTGTGGACTTCAACTCTCAGAATTCCTCAACCAGTGTGCCTGGCTGAGGAATTCTGGGAGTTGAAGTCCACAAGACATAAAAGGGTCAAGTTTGAAGACCCCTTGACTTGTGGACTTCAACTCCCAGAATTCCCCAACCAGTGTGCCTGGCTGAGGAATTCTGGGAGTTGAAGTCCACAAGTCATAAAAGGGCTAAGTTTGAAGGCCCCCTGCTATTGCGTGTCCCTCACCGATGCTCAAATATGCTGTGTAAGTCTCCCTAAGACAGTCATTTTAAGGGGGGGGAAAGTGTCTAGTTGCAGTTGCCTTAAATTCACACAAAATGTGCCACTTGCATCTCCTGGGGTTTAACAGCTACGTGGTAAGTGAGGATGCTCCCACTTTTCTTAAGGTGTTTTGCTGGCCCACGTTTAATCCGCCTGGATTTCAATGTTTGCACGTGGGTTTGTTTTTTTTAAAAAAAAACAATATGCAGGAAAGAAAAAAAATGTTACGGGCTAGGAGAAATTCCAAATAAGAACTCCAAACTAAATCAAAGCATGTTAATACTTTTTTTCCTTCTTTTTTCTCTACTTCAGGCTGTAAAATTTGAGCCTTACCATGACAGTGCCTTAGCTCGATTCCTGCTAAAGCGCGGCTTAAGAGTAAGTATTGCAAAAGGTTTAAATCAGATGGAGTGCTAACACGAGAGTTGCAAAATCAAAGAGTAGACCGTTTTGTTACGCTTGGCTGAGCCGGTAGACCAAGGATGAAAAGAGTGATTTGGCAGTAATTCTTGCACAAACGTCAGCTTAGAACAGGTGTAAGCAACCTTGGCTCTTTTATGACTCTTGGACTTCAACTCCCAGAATTCCTCAGCCAGCATGGCTCAGCTTGGAAACTCTCCCTTTCCCCTCAGCATGGCTGGCTCAGGAATTCTGGGAGTTGAAGTCCACAAGTCACAAAAGGGCCAAGTTTGAAGGCCCCTCCCAGAATTCCTCAACCAGGCACGCTGGCTGAGGGATTCTGGGAGTTGAAGTCCACAAGTCATAAAAGGGCCGAGTTTGAAGACCCCTGTTGTAGATAGTGTAAGATAAACCACCATTTAATATAGACCACTGTTTACTGTGTTTACTCCTGGGTTATCTCAGCGCAATCAGACTGTGCGTTCACGAATGTCTCACTTAACAACAGACATTTTGGGCTCGTAAGTCGAGGACTATCTGAAATGTGGATGCATTTGCAAAACGCCAGATCCGCGAAGAACCCTGTTCTGAGACGCTACCTCTTCCATTCACAGAACAAGCGGATCGGACACTTCCTGTTTTGGTTTCTGAGAAGCGAGATTGCTCAATCCATGCATTACCAGCAACGGTTTGCCGTGCTCTTGGAAGCGTATCTGAGGGGCTGTGGCAAAGCGATGCTAAAAGACTTCCTCAAGCAGGTCCACGTGACCGAGCTGCTGCACAAGGTCACGAGGGAGATCAAGGTCGCCTCGGCAGAGAAGTACGACGTCACCCCTCAAGGTAGGCGCCGTTTTTAGAAGCACCCTTTCGGCTACGGCGCATTTGCCTCACCAACTTTTTCTTCACAGGCGGCGGAGTCTGTGGTACCCGTGCCTCGCAGCTGCGGTTTCCAGACGAGTCGGTTGCAAAGCAGATTAAAAACAAAAACAAAACCCAAAAATATACGAACGAGAGAATATTGGCAGCTCAGGGTTGAACTGTGGGGTCCTTAGTGCTCTCTGAGCTTGGCTGTTTTCTTGCAGATGTTTCGTTGCCACCCTAGGTAATACAGCGCTGATGGCGTTACCTAGTTGGGTAAGGAAACGTCTGCAAGAAAGCCACCAAGCTCAGAGGGCACCGAGGACCCCACAAAAATATACTGTACTGTACCTGCATTGGGAAAACCCCGTCAGAGATCATTGCAAACGTAGATGGCCGTTTCTAAGTTAGCAGAGCCAAAGATCTACTCCAGAGTGAGGTCTCCATTGTGGTGGTGATGGTGTTGGAGATGACCTTGGACTCTGCAGGATCTTTATGTGGGTTCCCCCCCATAAAAGGAAGAGATCTAGCAGCATACACAGAGCCAACATTTAAATTTTCATCACGGGTAGCTTTAAAAATGGAATACTTACTGCCTACGTTAATATTCCTCAACCTTGGCTACTAGACGTGTGGATTTCAACTCCCAATAATTCCCCAGCCAGCCCCATAAGCCTAGACCAGGGGTAGGCAACATTGGCTCTTTTATGACTCGTGGACTTCAATTCCCAGAATTCCTGAGCCAGCATGGCTCAGCTCGGAAACCTCCCTTTTCCCTCAGTGTGGCTGGCTCAGGAATTCTGGGAGTTGAAGTCCACGAGTCACAAAAGAACCCAGGTTGCCTACCCTTGCCCTATATCAGGGGTCCTCAACCTTGGCAACTTTAAGACTTGTGGACTTCAACTCCCAGAATTCCTGAGCCAGCATGGCTTAGCTTGGAAACCTCCCTTTCCCCTCAGCATGGCTGGCTCAGGAATTCTGGGAGTTGAAGTCCACGAGTCATAAAAGAGCCAAGGTTGCCTACCCCTGGTCTAGATTATTGAATTAAATTGTTTCTTCCTCTAAATTGCTCATCTCTAAGTGTTTTTTAAAAAATGAGCGTTGTAGAGTAAAATTTGTTCTTAAGGTCCAGGTTGCTAGGGGTGTGAGGAGTAGCTTTCTGCTTTTTATATCTAAGACATAGAAAGACTATTTAGATCAGAGGTCCCCAACCTTTGGGGCACCAGGGACCGGTTCCGTGGAGAGAGGTTTTTCCGCGGACCGGAGGGGGCATGGTTTTGTGTGCTGCCTGCATCCCGCGGATGGGGCTTTGCTTGTTTGTGCAGACCGGTTGCTGGCATGCCACGGTCCGGTACCAGTCCACGGACCAGGGGTTGGGGACCCCTGATTTAGATAATGAAAATCACTCTGCAGTCATTTTATCTCCTCTCCCCTCCTTCCTCGCCAGTCCACAAAGCTGGAAAGGTTGGGGAACAATGTGTTAAAGGAGAAATGCAGTGTTGGTGTGTGTGTGTGTGTATGTGTGTGTGTCAGCAATTCCTCATTCCATTTCATTCTAATCGAATATGTTTCTGATTTTTAAAAAAATCTTTCCCCCCCCCTCTCCTTTCTTAGTCATCGCACAGCTCAAACAAAAACTCGAGAGGCTACAGGAGAACAAGTTTCCAGAATGTTTTAGAGTTCCATATGACCCTGGACTCAAAGCAGGAGCCCTGGTGGTAAATATAATTCCTTCTCTCCTGGAAAAGTTGAATAAATGTTTCACATTTTGAATGTCATTTCGTTTGAGAATAGGATAGGATAGGATAGGATAGGATAGGATAGGATAGGATAGGATAGGATAGGATAGGATAGGATAGAATAGAATAGAATAGAATAGAATCTTTATTCAGAATAGAAGAGAATATTAAGAAGAGAAGAGAAGAGAAAAGAGAATAGAATAGAATAGAATATTGAGAATAGAATAGAATAGAATAGAATAGAATAGAATAGAATAGAATAGAATAGAATAGAATCTTTATTGAGAATAGGATAGGATAGGATAGGATAGGATAGGATAGGATAGGATAGGATAGAATCTTTATTCAGAATAGAAGAGAATATTAAGAAGAGAAGAGAATAGAATAGAATCTTTATTGAGAATAGAATAGAATAGAATCTTTATTGAGAATAGAATAGAATAGAATAGAATAGAATAGAATAGAATAGAATAGAATAGAATCTTTATTGAGAATAGAATAGAATAGAAAAGGATAGGATAGGATAGGATAGAATCTTTATTCAGAATAGAAGAGAATATTAAGAAGAGAAGAGAGAAGAGAAGAGAATAGAATCTTTATTCAGAATAGAATAGAATAGAATAGAATAGAATAGAGCTGGAAGGGACCTTGGAGGTCTTCTAGTCCAGCCCCCTGCTCAAGCAGGAGGACCTATACCATCTCAGACAGATGATTGTCCAGTCTCTTCTTAAAAATCTCCAGTGATGGAGCGCCCATGATTTCTGGTGGCAAGCTGTTCCACTGGTTAATTGTCCTCACTGTCAGGACGTTTCCCCTTAATTCCAGGTTGCTTCTCTCCTTGGATCAGTTTCCAACCGTTGTTTCTCGTCCTTCCCTCTGGTGCTTTGGAGAATAACATGACCCCTTCTGCCTTGTGGCAGCCTCTCAGATACTGGAAGACTGCTATCATGTCTCCCCTGTTTCTTCTTTTCTTTAGACTGTCCAAACCCAAGTCCCGCAGCCGTTCTTCATATGTTTTAGTCTCCAGGCCTCGGATCATCTTAGTTGCTCTTTTAATTCTTAGACGCCAGTTCTGGCGGTTAACAGATGTATAACTCTCTGTCTTTTGTCACAGATAGAAAAATGTAAAGTAATGGCATCCAAGAAAAAACCTCTTTGGCTGGAATTCAAGTGTGCGGATCCAACTTCCCTCTCCAGCGAGACCATCGGCATCATCTTCAAACACGGCGACGATCTGAGACAGGATATGCTCATTTTACAGGTAATGCGACTACGACACGCTGAGAGAAGCCCAAGAAATGTGAGAACCGCTAACGAACCGTTTTAGTTATGAAAAAGAGGAAATAAACAGAACCGTCCTAAGTGGCTGCTAAAAGACATGGAAGTGAGCATACCCTTCGGCTTCCGCTGAATGACATTTTTATTAATGGCACTCCTCTTTTTCATATCCCTTTTTAAAAACAAAAAACTGTGTGGAAACCTACCAGTTTCTGCACGCTGGACTTTCTTCCCTGTTTCGCTAAATTTCAAACTGTTACACCAGGTTCCCTAACTTTTGACACTGAAGGCGAGGTATTTTTTTTAATTACAAAGAACGCTTGAGCAAGTCTCTATTTTTCCCCCAGCTGATTTCCAGAACAATCTTCTCAGCAAGATTGCTAAAATAATATTGCTTCCTGAGGTACCACACCCTCTTTTATAATCAGCCAGGGATATATATATAAATATAAATAATATAAATATAAATATATATATTTATTTATCCTGGACAATTCCAGTGTTTCTGTGAAAGCTTGCTACTTACTTTATTTTTATATTGGTATTGGGATGAAATTTCTGAACCTACCCATCAAAATTTCTGAATTTACCCATCAAGAATTAGAATTAGAATTAGAATTATTAGAATTAGAATTATTAGAATTAGAATTATTAGAATTAGAATTATTAGAATTATTAGAACTATTAGAATTATTAGAATTAGAATTATTAGAATTAGAATTATTAGAATTAGAGTTATTAGAATTAGAATTAGAATTACAGCGTTGGAAAGGATCTTGTAGGTCATCTAGTCCAGCGGTTCTCAACCTATGGGTTGCGACCCCATTTGAGGTCGATTGACCATTTCACGGGGGTCGCCAAGCAAGGCTGTCCGCCATTTTTTTCCCCTTTTCCGGCGGGTGCCTTACCTCCCTTGAGCTGGGCCAGCTGGTGGTCGGCCTGCTCCGTCTCTGCCGCTTGCCAGCTACGCCTNGGCCGGCGCAGGGGACGGAACCACGCATGCGCGGCGCTCCCGGGCAGGGAAAGTCCTCGACTTACGACCGGTTGGGTAGTCCTCGACGTACGACCGGTTTAGTCCTCGACTTACGACCGGTTTAGTCCTCGACTTACAACCGGTTGGGGGTCGTGGCATTAAAAAGGTTGAGAACCACTGATCTAGTCTAACCCCCTGCCCTTACACCATTTCTGACAAATGGAAGACTGAGAGTCACTTTGGTGTATTGATTAAGGCCTCAGACTAGAAATTGGAGATTGTGAATTCTAGTCATGAAACCTGCTGGGTGACCTTGGGCCAGTCAATGTCTCTCAGCCCCAGGAAGGAGACAATGGCAAAACCCTTCCAAAACGTTGCCAAGAAATCCCAGGGACTTGTACAGGCAATCCCCAGGAATTAAGACTGACTTGAAGAGACCAAAAAAAAATAAATAAAAAGAAAAATATTCAAGATATAGTATCTCTTCTACCATTAGAATTTCCTCTGATCGATTAACATAGGTTAGTACGGATGTTGAGCTTTATTATACAAAGCACACTTCACCTCTTCTTGGGGGCGACTCAACAAATATTTATCTCATTCACAGAGATGAAGGTGATGGGAATGAGCCTAGAAGACAGGATGTTTCTGCATTTTAGTGAACGGGAGTTTTTCTTTTTGAGTTCTGCTCCATGTTTCTTAACAAGCTATTTCGACTACTTGTCAGGATTCTTTTGCAACGTTTATATAGTATAATTCGGAATCCAGATGTTTAGACCGCATCAAAAAATCCCTGATCAATTGCCTTGCTAATTGAGGCCGCCATTTTGGTTCCTGCCTGCAGAAATTCATGTATTTATTTCAAGTTATACAGTATTATTGGTTTATACAGGTAGCCCTAGACCAGGGGTAGGCAACCTTGGCTCTTTTATGACTCGTGGACTTCAACTCCCAGAATTCCTGAGCCAGCATGGGGGAAACTTTGGCCCCTTCATGACTTGTGGACTTCAACTCCCAGAATTCCTGAGCCAGCCATGCTGAGGGGAAAGGGAGGTTTCCAAGCTGAGCTATGCTGGCTCAGGAATTCTGGGAGTTGAAGTCCATGAGTCATAAAAGACCCAAGGTTGCCTACCCCTGCCCTAGACTTACTTAGTGACCGTTCAAAGGTCCAACAGCACTGGAAAAAGTGACTTACGACCGTTTTTCACACTTACCAACCGTTGCAGCACCCCTGTGGTCATGTGATCAAAATTTGGATGCTTGGCAACTGACTCTCATTTATGACGGTCACAGTGACAAGCAATGGGGAAGCCAGATCCACTTAACAACTGTGTTACTAACTTAACAACTACAGTTATGGCAAGAAAAGTCATAAAATGGAGCCAAATTCATTTGACAACCGTCTCACTTAGCAATTAGAAATTTTGGGCTGAATTATGAATGAATTATGTATTTCATAATTCTTAACCGCCCATTTCCTTTGAAGAGGGGTTCTTGGCGGTATGAGGAAATAACTTGTTTTATTTTGTGCGTTTTGTTTCGTAGCTCTGCTCTGCAACTTTTTTAAAAAAATAAGTTTTAGTCAGTCTGGGACACTGTCCTGTAATAAAAAAAATGATTTGAATTTGATTTGAAATAACTGATTTAATTCATATGAACATTTCTAGGATTTTTTTTAAAAAAATAGCTCCTGGATGCTGTTTGTCTTTTGTTTCTATTAGATACTTCGAATAATGGCGTCGATATGGGAAGAAGATTCCTTAGATTTATGTTTATTACCTTATGGCTGTATTTCTACAGGGAATAAAATAGGTAATACTTTTAAAAATCATAAGACCTGCAGGGGTAAAAATATTTTGGTGTTGGGATGAAAGCCAATCTTCTTTTTTTATTTTTAATCTACCTATCTATCTCTGTCTGTCCGTCCGTCCGTCTGTCTGTCTATAATTTTATGCTGGCCATTTTTCCTGTCTCAGTACTTAGAAGTAGACAAGAATTACCAACCAGGAGTACCAACACTGTCTTTATTACTGTATAAGGTTATAGTAACAAAAACTTTCAAGTCTTGTCCCTCACTTTTACTCTCCCCATAATTTGTGGTTGTAAGTCAAGGATTACCTGTAGTCCTGATCTATTTCACATCTTAGTTTGGTTTATTTTATAAAACTGACGGTACCAGATCTGGAGGTGCAGAAAAAGAGAAAGAAATGGCGTGGTTTTTTCCAGCATGGAATGAGGCTCTTGGTTCAAACTCGGCTTCGTTTTGTTTTTAAACAGGCATGATTGAAATCGTAAAGGATGCGAATACGATTGCCAAAATCCAGCAAAGCACAGTTGGGAACACCGGGGCGTTTAAAGATGAAATACTAAACCAGTGGCTTAAGGAGAAGTGTGTCATTGAAGAAAAGGCAAGTGTTCCTGGTTGCTACTCTTTCTGTTTGAAAAGTATTATTTCTTTGTAAGCCATTATGGGGTACTTCAGAGGTGTCCAACCTTGGCAACTTTAAAACTTACGGACTTCAACTCCCAGAATTCCCCAGCCAGCATGAGACGATTAGCTGGAACTTGGAAATAAAAACCACAGGATGGATAGGAACATTCACTTAAGAGAGAGGGAGGGAGGGACAGAAAGGGAGGGAGGGAGGGAAAGAGAGAGAGAGTATATAAAAGTGACTTTTCTTTCACTATGACTATGGTTAGCATATGGACACCAGAATCTATATGTTTCACTACTCGGTATTTGTTTTAGCTCATATTTTTTTTTAAAAAGTTTATTTTCGCTATGCCTTGTGGGTTGATAAGCACTTCCCATTTGCTTTGAGTTTCTTTAGTAAATTCTCTGCCTTGTCTGATCGTCGGGAAACAGTCAGAACCACAGATAGGCAAGAACATGAAGGGTGTTGGGTTGCCAGCCCCTAACTTGATAGGAGGTGTGATCGTGGTTGAAAAGCCACCGTTTTGATGGAATTGATTTTGCGCGTACGGCCCGTTGGCACAAATCTGAGCCGTTGTCTCTACAGTTTCAGGCGGCAGTGGAGCGATTTGTATATTCTTGTGCAGGCTATTGCGTGGCAACCTTTGTCCTTGGAATAGGGGACAGGCACAACGACAACATTATGATCACGGGATCAGGTGAGTTTTGAGGTTGGCGACACTGAATGAGTGACAGCATGGGCGAATCTGGGACAAATAGCTTCTTTCCACCGCTACATCAGGAAGGCATCATTCCTGAACTGGTTGGATGTGATGATGATTATTTATGCCCTGGGGATATTCTACCTTGACTACTGCAGTGGGATGTACATGGGGCTACCCTTGAAACATCTCCAGAAGTTGCTGTTAGCATGAAAAATAGCAGTTCGATGTCCAAGTAGTGCGGGAAGGGGAGAATGAAGATAGTCCTCGACTTAACGACCACAATTTCTGTTGCTAAGTGAGAGATTTTTTAAGTGAATCACTGCAGTTGTTAAGTTAGTAACCTGGTTGTTAAGTGAATCTGGCTTCCCCATTGACTTTGCTTGTCAGAAGGTCACAAAAGGGGATCACGCAGTGGTGGGATTCAGCCAGTTCGCACCGGTTCAGGAGAACCGGTAGCTAAATTTACCCAAATTTGGAGAACCGGCTGGCTTGCAGAAGTCCAGTCTAGGCCTGGGAGGCCTCCAGGCCTATAACAGCCCACTGGAAGTGCATGGATACCACTTCCGGAAGTCCGCTCTAGGCCTCGGAGACCTGGAGGAAACCTCCCCGGCCTAGAACGGCCCACCGGAAGTGTGTGGATGCCACTTCCGGAAGTCCGTTCTAGGCATTGGAGGCCTGGAGGAGGCCTCGGAGCCCTGGAGGAGGCCTCCCAGGCCTAGAACAGCCTACCGGAAGTATGTGGATGCCACGGGCCACCAGAAGTGTGTGAATGCCACTTCCAGAAGTCCGTTCTAGGCATCGGAGGCCTGGAGGAGGCCTCCCAGGCATAGAACGGCCCACCGGAAGTGCATGGATGCCACTTCCGGAAGTCTGTTCTAGGCATCGGAGGCCCAGGCCTGCATCAAATAAGAGAACCGGTTGTTCAGGCATTTGAATCCAACCACTGGGATCATGCGACCCCAGGACACCGCAACCGTCGTAAATACGAGTCAGTTGCCAAGCGTCCGAATTTTGATCACATGACCGTGGCGATGCTGCAACGGTCATAAGTGTGAAAAACTCTTCAGTGCCATCGTAACTTTGAGTGGTTGCTAAACAAATGTAAGTCGAGGACTTACATCGAACAAAGAGAAGAGGTCATATGATTATAGAAAAGCAGATTTTGATAAAGGTTGGAGAGCTCGGGTCATAGAAAGATAAGGGCCAACATACAGAGGGAAGGCCCAATAAAGTTTTTTTTTTGCAACAAGTCATCCTAATCGATGTGTTTTTAATTACCCGGCGTAATATTGATTTTTTTTTTGTTTTCTTCCCAAGGTAATCTCTTTCATATTGACTTTGGCCATATTCTTGGAAATTACAAAAGCTTCCTTGGAATTAATAAGGAAAGAGTTCCTTTCGTCTTAACACCCGATTTTCTTTTTGTCATGGGGACTTCCGGAAAGAAAACAAGTCTGCGTTTTCAGAATTTCCAGGTAATTGGGGCACGACGTAAACCTTTAAAAAGTTTAAAGATTTAAAAAGTTAGAATTGTTCTCACCCATTGGTGTAAAATAATAATAATTTTTTTTCAGAAGGCGGTAGTGTCAGACCTGCCACAGCTTAAACTCCTAATTAGAATCGATCCTTGGCTCCATTTGTTGAGAAAGGTGTAATTTTTTAGAGGTCAAGTTTTTTGCAGTATTGCAAAGCCAGAAGTGAACATTGGGCACCAAAATCTCTAAATTCTGCTTTTCCCTCCCTTAGCTGTCTCTCGTTGCTCCTCCCAGTTTAACCAATCTGGTTCAGGCAAGACGTTTTGCCTGACAGACAGTCCAAGTGTAGTTGGCTATGCGGCCTCTTCCTTCTTCCAACTGGGCGACCTTGAGGCTGCGTCTGAAGGAGATACAGCCCTTACTTTCAGTTCCCCAAGCATTCCCCCTTTCCTTTCCCCTCCCTACAGTTCCTGGCAGCTGATAGATAGGTTGTTTTCAGAGGCTTCTTTTCATAAGCACTAGACACCTTTTTGAGATTTAAAAATGCACGACGGCGTGCTTCCCTAAAGCGAATTTACCACTTGAAATACAGAACTGAGGATAAAGGTAGCCCTTGACTTATGACCACAATTGAGTCCAAACTTTCCAGACAGTTATTCAGTGAATCATGTCTGATTTTACACCCTTTTTTATTGCAACGGTTGTTAAGTGAATCACTAAAGTTGTTAAGTGAAACGAGGGGTCCTTCGGCAAATCTGGCTTCCCGTCCATTGGCTTTGCTTGTCAGAAGTTCCCGAAGTAAGTTGCAAATGACAGTCCCAGGACCCTGGGATGCTTCAACCGCCATGAATACATTTGTGTTGCCGAACATCCACAGTTTGATCACGAGACTGTGTGGATGTTGCGACGGTCGTAAGTGTGAAAACGGATCCCGAGTCCCTTTTTTTTCAGTTTAACTGTTGTTAAATATTTGCAAGTCCCAAAATAATCCGTGATATAAACTAGTTAGATCTGTGGCTTCTTCAATAGGTCACTGCCGTGCCTTGCCTTCGATAATTTTCAAGTGTGTTGTGATCCAATTCAGCCCCACGGGATTCATTGCCATTTTCCTGGGTGTCAACAAAGTAAAATTAGCAGTTGTGGTGATACAACTGAAGTGCGATGCACATCAGAGATAGGCAGAAGAACTTTGATTCCACGGTGGCGGTCCGCCATCTTGGATGTAGTGATCCAATTCTTTGGCTATTCTGGCTGGATTCTTTCTCCTCTGCTTCAGATTCTCATCACATTTTTTGAAGAATCTGGTGCAACGGTGGATCCTCTTTGCAGACCTGTAAAAGCCATTTGGGCAGTGGTGGGATTCAAATAGGCGAACAACCAGTTCTCTGTGTGGATGCCGCTTCCGGAAGTCCGTTCTGGGCCTGGGCAACAAAAAAATAGCTACTGGTTCTGCCGATGTGGTGCGAACCGGCTGAATCCCACCACTCTATCTATCTGTCTATCTGTATCTGTATCTGTATCTGTATCTGT